CCATCAAAAGAGAATAGCTCTCAATTGTTTGCACTTCTAGACGGAGCCTTGCCATTCAAGAGTCTGTCCTTTCTCTCTTCCTACATAGTCCATAATACTGCTCTCCTCGTGCATCCCCAGATGATCTTCCCTCTTTTCCTTGGTAGATTGAAACAGGAAGAATAGAAAGCCCAGCAATCTGATTCAACTCCCTAGGATCCATCTGAAAGTGCAGAACCAGAAGAAACAATTGATGGCTATTTGTCTGCTAGATATAAATATTCCAACCTTCTGCTTACGCCTTAGGATATTTCAAGATTGTTTGGATATGTTTCTGTGCCCACTAATTACTGATGGCTAGCTGTCCATCCCATGCATTATGGTTTTGGCCTGTGCACAGGTCAAGTGGAGCTCTGGAAGCTTTAAGCCCTCCGTACAGGAGTCCAGATGAAACAGTTGTCTATTGCTGATTGGTGCATTAAACAGCAGATCTCATCTCTATATCTATTAAATTCTGAGTATATCCATGCTTTAGATTTTCTGGAGCATCTGTATGCATCCATCATATGCTTCTTAAAATTGGTTTGCCAAAAATGCATGTTTTCCTTTCCTTATGATGTTGATTTTTAGTGTTTAGTTCTTTTTCCCAGAGTGCACTGAGTTTATAACCCATAATACTAATTTTTGTATGGAATGTGGTTGCAGAGCTTCCTCCACACCAAGAGATTTGAATGCCTTCTCTTTCTCTGCTACAATGTCAGAGGTATGCATGGGTACAATTTTGTTATGATGTTGACATTGAGACTGACAAAGGATCCTGTACTGTCATTACTAAATAATGATTGTATTATGATAGGGTAACATTGCATGATAGCTGAAGAAAGAAGATGATACGGTTTCTCCTGGTGAAGAAAGAAAGTGGAGCTCTGGAGGCTTTAAGCCCTCCACACAGGAATCCAGATGAAATAGCTGTCTATTGCTGATTGGTGCACACAGCACACCTCATCTCTATATCCATTGTTTATATTTTCTGGAGCATCTGTATATCTATTATATCCAAGAGATKGGAATGCCTTCTCTCTCTCCTACAATGCAGAGGTATGCACAGGTTCAAGAGATTGGAATGCCTTCTCTCTCTCCTACAGTGCAGAGGTATGCACAGGTTCAATTTTGTTATGATGTGGAATGTCTTGGAGGCTGTGTAAATGTGTAAATGTCTTGGAGGCTGTGTAAATGTGTAAATGTCTTGGAATGTCTTGGAGGCTGTGTAAATGTGAAGTATAATTGAGTTTTTGTTTTTCCTAATTTTGTATTTATGATTTGTGAGTTTGTCGGTAATTCTCCACTTTTTTGGCTACATGAAATGTCATTAGTAAACTCATTTTCAAATGTAATCTGTTTAGTGTGTACACAAACTCCTAAATACATTGAAATAAATCAAGGCATGACACCATATCCAATAGAGAGATATAATAAAGAAGAATTTCATAAGTGCATTTGCAATGTAAAAAACATTTCAAGGTATCTCCACTATTTATCCACTGCATAGAAGCTTAGTTGTCAAAACATTCAGAAAGTGGGCAGAAGTTATGCAACAACCATATTTAATAAATAACTTTTCACAATGAAGTGTCAGGCATGGGGTTGGATAGAAATAAATTGCTTAAAAGTTCTCCGAATACTATTTCTGGATGAAAAATATGTGCACCCTCGTATTGTGAGAGTGAGAGCAGCCACTTTGTGCAAAAGAGAATACCAATGGTTAAGAGTTAGGACTATCCAATCTACCTCTCCCAATACCCTAGATAGTAGTAGGGGCCACCATTGGATAATGGCCTTTTTAGATGTGTACTCTCTACATTATTTATAGGGAAATCCCAACTATCGTCTATCTAAGGAAGTTTGAGATGGCAATTATGCAAATCACAATAATTGGTCCTTACAATATCATAGAATATAGTCTATGAGAGCAATGTCTACGGGCCCTTACGATATAAGAAAAAGAGGACTTAGTCAAGAGGTGGGCGAAGTGGGGGGAGGCTCGAATTCAAATGGGGCCCACTTTAAGGATGTCGAACCGGATAGAAACAAATCAGGCCACCATATAGATAGTTTGGAAATAAGGAGGAGAAAGGGCTTGATCCAAAAACGGACAATTAAAAGACTAAGCTGAAATAGACTGAAGAGCAAGAACTCAGGAGCGCAGGAAGACGAGTGGGTTTGGGTGGTTGCTCGTTTCGAAGGAGAGAAGAAAACAATTAGTTTCTAAAGACACACTACAAGAACTGAAGGCGTCAGAACTAGAGTGCATGTGGTTGAAGAAGATACTGGCATATCTGGAAAGCCGCCGCTCATAGAAAACCATGTTATCCCAGTCTCTGATCATGAGATACAAAACCAGGAAGTGACTACACATAGAACCAAGACCAACGTCCAAAGCCGGTGACTGAAGGGTTGGTGGTCTGAAGAAAGGTGAGCCCAGAAGGTGAGTCTAGTGCGGCAACAACTAGATAGAGGAATCTTGAGAGTTGGGAAGGCTCGACTTCGTTCCAGGAGACCCAAATAGAGGAAGAGGTACGAATTTCTGAAATCTCAATTCCTTTAGTCTCCACGTCGGTGGGAATCAATTGAGGGAGGAGGAGAAGAAGATGGGGTAAGGAAAAGGAGAAGAAGGAGTCGAGGAAGAAAAAGAAAGAGAAGGGAGGAGGGTAGAAGAACCAAGGAAAGTGTACAACAGAAAGAGAAGATTGGAGGGAGGCAGCCTAGGTATTGAAGAAAGAGAGTAGGGGGGAAAAGATAAGGAAGAGGAGCATGAAGATATAAGAAAGGAGAGGAAGGAGCAGGGGAGAAGGGGTGAGAAGCCGGGTGGGTTGGAGAGTACTCAAAAAGGTGTAGTAGAGATTGACAAACTCACTAAGAGGGAAGTATCGATAGGTAAGTCCCTAGGATATTTTTCCTAGGGGGAGAAGAAGTTGCAAGAAGTGCCTTCGCACAATTTGAAAAGGACACGAGGGAGGAGAAGGGTAAGACAAAGGAACTAAGTGGGTTGAACAAAGAGTGGGATGAGGAAGGGGGCAAAGAGGAATTACTAGAAGAGGATATGTGAGAATAGTTGCTCTAAGGAGTGGAAGAGGGAAGGAAGGATGAGAGTACTGAGCTGGAACATATGGGCCCTTGGGAAAAGTAATAGGAGGGTTGCCATGGACAGCATCCTAACAACTGACCATTTGAAGAGTAGAGGATTTTATATGGCAAACATTTGTGGCATGTGTAGTTCGGATGAAAAATCTGTTTTACATTTATTTACCACCTGCAAGACTTCAAGAATCATGTGGAGTTATTACACATCTTTATTCGGGAAAAGAGCTATTCAGCCAAGTTCAACAGCAGAAATTTTCTCCGTCTGGCCAAGATTTGGGGGAAGTAGGAAAGCAAGGATAGTATGGAGCTGCATCCCCTTTGTTGTGTGTTGGATACTATGGAACAAAAGGAACAAGGGGATCTTTGAAGACAAATTCAAGAACACATAAGTTCTGGTGGCTCTGGTGGGGAAGCTAGTTGCAGATTGGGTACGGGTGTTACTAGATTTTGATCAAGTGAGAAGATCAGATATGGGGGAAAATTTCTAGAGCATGCTTGAGATTCAGTTGATGTAAATTGTATCAATCTTAGTTTGGACTGTGCCTTAGTTCACTCTGCTCTGTTTTGTAAGCTAGGTGCCATCTTGTCACCTATTGCATCTAACTTAATTTTTTCTATTTAATAAAAATTCTATTTTAACTTCAAAAAATGAGAGCAGTGTCAACTGTTAACATATATAAGAATTTCCT